ATTTGGATCTATTCTAATCTATTTGGATGGAGTTTAGTATGTTGTTAAACATGAAAATCTAAAACAGAACAGTGTGGGGTTTCCGTAACCCCAAATTCATACCAGACTCTTTACTTTTGGTAGGAATTTTAGGAGGAAGCACATGGAAAAAAAACAGGGTGCAGCCCCCCAATTCATACCAGACCATGATCCAAGCAGCGGCCTGGCAAAGCAGGAAAGGGGTTCGTGATTGGCAAGCATTTGCATCGATAGACGATGTGATTGAAGATTGATTTACATTGTGGGACTTTTTTGGGGTGTGATTTATTAATAAACTTGTCAAAACTTGTCAAAACTTTGTAATGTGTTTATTTACTCTCTGAAAGTGTATTTGGTGAATGAGTAGGGATGACAACTAACCCTTACTTATTCACGAGGGAGGTGGCATCTGAGATTCAGATAAGCTCCCCCTGCCTGCAGACCCCCACAACCACTGGCCCAGGGTTGTGGGGAAAAGGCCCTTGTCCTCATGAACATGTGGACCCTGTCCCATGTTGAGGGCAAGTGACCTGGAATGGTACAGGAGGAGGGCACATGATCTTTCTCCCCCTTTCCTGGTCTGCCAGGCCGCTGCTCGGATCAAGGGTCTGGTAAGGGATTTAGGGGGGGGAGAGGGGAAAATGCTGTCGTCCCCCTCCCCACGCCAATTTTCATTTTCATAACATATGAGTTAATTCTGAATGATATTCATACAAAATTCAGATGCATCCAAATTCAGATACGTTCAAATTCTGGCTTTTTACCCATTCAGAAATTCGGATGCATCAGAATTTCAGAATTTGCCGATTTGCGGTTGAAAACGAATGCACCAGTCTATATTTTACTACCAAGGGATTGACTGCCTAATGGGTCCTATTTAAAGCCAGGAGAGATAACACTTGGACCCCGAGTGTGTTGTAGCTCAACCCAAGATGCAAACGTACTGGAGGAATTCAAGTATATTGGCCACTGAGCAACTCTACCAATTATAATTCTTTACTGTGGCAAGGTTTGATCAAATTTTTCAAACTCTGTGATATGTAGAGTTTCTTGTAGTTTTCAGTAAGGTTTTGATTACTATGGAAGAGGGAGCTAGATCTTGAAACCTGTCTCTTTCAGCTTCCAAGCCATCAAACTCAGACAGCTTATGTTGGGAAGTCCCAGCTCAGCTTCCCAACACATAAGACCTCTCTTGAATGCAAATGATATGGCCGAGCACGCCAACATCTCGTAGCATTGACCAAGGTGTTCTCCAGCCCTAGAAGGTAGGCTATCGTCAAATCCTCCAGATGGATCTGAGTCCAGGAAAAAAATTCCATTGTGATACGGATGGAGACTTCTTGTGCCCCATTGATGAGAAATATAGACTACAATTTTGTTTTTTAGTAGCTTTACTCTGTTTACTCACATGAAATTTAATAAGAACTTGAGAGCTCCCAAGGCTGACCGTAGCTTTAACAGCTTTTACTAATTGATAGACTGGCCCCATCACATGCTCTAGGCATGGGGGCCCAAACATAGCACATTCCACAGATTGGGAGAACTCAGGTGTACTGGAAGGTGCTCTGCAAACCTTTTTTTCTAGGGCAAAAAGACTTAGCCTCTTGAAACTAATCTCATGTTCTTCTATTTTGGAGAAAGGACTGTTGAGGTCTTCTTTTGATGGCTTGGGGCAAAAACCCTAACTTGCCACTTGTTACCCTCTTGATGGTCTCTTCAAGGGTCTTCCAAAAATCCCTTTTTTCTCAATGTTTGATGTCCAGATCCAAAGAGCTCAGGAATCTACTGTGGGGGCTACCAAAGGTCTACAGACACTGAGACATAAATCCTCTTCAGATCTATATCATAACCTCTGTCAATGGGACCCTTGAAAATGTCATGGAGTCATCCAGTGGTTTGGTTAAATGCCTGGCAAGCCACTGTAGAATCATGTCCACTTTAGGTGTTAAATTTTAGGCCTCTGAATCTACAGGATGCAAAGGAACCAGTTTAGTGAAACTGTTTGCCAGGCTGGACTTGCTGTCAGGATTAGTCCATTCACCCTCTATGATCTTGAACAGGAATTCAAGAGAGGAATGACAGAATTACTCTCTTTACATTAGGAAAATACTTACCGTATATACTCGAGTATAAGCCGTCCCGAATATAAGCCGAGGTACCTACTTTTACCCCAAAAAACTGGGAAAAAGTATTGACCCGAATATAAGCTGAGGGTGGGAAATGAGGCAGCTACTGGTAGATAGATACCAATAAAATTACATTAATATTTATTTAAAAGAAAAATAACCTAGCTCTGTAAGTGGAAAAGGGGGTGCAGGGCTACATATCATGTACTACGGATCATTTAACCCATTCATATTAGCAGAGGATAATTGTAAATCTATTGTTCAGTGCACTCTATATGTAGTATATAGTACATGTACATATAGAGTGCCTGCAACAATACATTTACAATGATCCTCTGCTAACATGAATGGGTTAAATGATCCATAGTACAGGGCTACATACAGATCATTTAATACATTCATGTTAGTATAATTGTAAATGTATTGTCTGCACTGTATTAGCAGTATATACTCTATATAGAGTATATACTGCTAATACAGTGCAGACAATACATTTACAATTATACTAACATGAATGTATTAAATGATCTGTATGTAGCCCTGTACTATGGATCATTTAACCCATTCATGTTAGCAGAGGATCATTGTAAATGTATTGTTGCAGGCACTCTATATGTACATGTACTATATACTACATATAGAGTGCACTGAACAATAGATTTACAATTATCCTCTGCTAATATGAATGGGTTAAATGATCCGTAGTACATGATATGTAGCCCTGCACCCCCTTTTCCACTTACAGAGCTAGGTTATTTTTCTTTTAAATAAATATTAATGTAATTTTATTGGTATCTATCTACCAGTAGCTGCCTCATTTCCCACCCTCAGCTTATATTCGGGTCAATACTTTTTCCCAGTTTTTTGGGGTAAAAGTAGGTACCTCGGCTTATATTCGGGACGGCTTATACTCGAGTATATATGGTACTAATCTTTTGTGGGGGGTTCTTAAACCTCCTCCTCCCATCCTAAGTCTTCATTGGTATGAACAACCAAAAAGTCAAAGCTAAATGGTTCAACCACTGCTTCCTCAAAATAATGGTTCTCTTCTGATGATCCAACTCATAGGGAAGGTAACTGGCCTCCTATTGCCAAAGCCTTCCTCGCCCCATTTTTTTGGGAAGACTCCAGTCGCATGTAGTCCTGCATGCTCTCTGCAACCGCCTCACAGATGAAAGATCAAAACTTGGCATTCTTTGACCCCTTACTTGTAGACATCTCACTGAAACTGCCTTCACATATGAGATTAGCACATGTGCAAACGAAAATCCGTTTGCACGAAAATCTGTCAACCGACAAAATTTGGTGAGTTATTATTGATAACAAACGATTATCGTAATCGAGATTGGTCTGTGCATGATGGGCTATTTGAGCTAGAATCGAAAGAGAGTTCTTGGCAGCAACGAAAATTTCCGATCGAAAATCTGTAGGTGTATGGGCATTATTAGTTTACATTAATTAAACCTAATTAACTTCTTCTTCCCCTATTGTTTTAGTTTTTTTTTGTTTATTTTTATTTTATGAACATCAATATTTATACCTTTTTCATTTTTATTAATTGCGTTTTTTAGCATCAAAATAACTTTGGAAAGCCTTGTGCCAGAATCCTAATTTTAGTATCATTTTCAACAGGACAAATTATAGAATAAAATGTATACTTTTTTTATGTACCAAAGAGGAAAATGTAAAGGAAAGTTATACAATACTTTTTAAAAAAGTGTCTATGGATTGCATAAAAATAAAAATCATTTTGCAAAACAATAACAATCTTACAGAATGACAAAATGACTGCCTAACTTTGCTGTAATTACTCTTCTCTGGTATTGAGGACAGAGACAGCCAGGCAACAGTATCCTCTCTGTTTCCTTCAGAGCAAATCTATCCTATAGCAAAATAATTGTCTCAGAAATATGTGATCAAAGCAGCCTTATTTGTATTCATTGGGTCACATACCTGTTCTAGAGCACGACCCATTCAACTTAGGTAAGATCCCAGAGCTGTGGAATGGCAGCTTCCTGCAGACATTTCTGAGACAGGTGATTGCTTTGTAACAATTCTCTTTAAGCTGGCCATATACCTTAGCTGGCCATACACCTTAGGCTGGGCACACACCTTACAACCATCGCAAGACTTTTGTCTTGCGATGGTTGTAAGGTAATTTAAAAAACATACGATCTGACCATCTTGGACAGGCAGATCGTACTTCCGATGACCGCAATGCTGAACGGGCATGTTCCTAAGGTATAAGTCGTGCAACCTTACAGTAGCAGAGGTCGCATGGCTCCCACACACATTACGATAATCGTACGATCGCGGGATTTTCCGCGATTATCGGAAGGTGTGTGGGCACCTTTACAATTATCTGCAGATTTTCTGTGGTCAGATGGAAAAGGGGCAACAGATTCCTCCATCTACACTTAAATGTGTGAATGGAATAATCTCCACCCAAGCCAATATGTTGTACTTTTTCCATCTGACCACAGAAAATCTGCAGATAATTGTAAGGTGTATGGGCACCTTAGAATGATCCTGTGTTTGTCACATGTGAATTATTGTAAAGCTAAAACATGTTACTATAACATATTGTGCACTATTTATCATGGCACTAGAAATCTTGATTACATTTCTTAGGTATACTTTAATGCAAAGCAAAGTCACATGAAGATTAGAGTCTTAGGCTAATGTGTCAAACAGGAATAGGCTGTTTATTAACAATCACGTCATCGACAGAGCATGCAGGGTTAACTTCCTCCAGCATTCCTTGTGTACCTGCACTTTAAGCTTTCTGGTTGGATAGTAAAACCTGTCTATCCGCCCCTTCCATGACCAAGCAAAGGGGGAGAGCAGGTTAGAGAGGGAGAGGCAGGTGACTTTTATCCTGAGTTATTGACTTATGAAGATTTCAGTAAGGAGAGTCAATTTGTAGTTAATCTTTTTGCTCGTGGATCCTGTTGAAAGCTTCCAGTGCTTTCTTGTTTTATAATCTTATATTCTGCTACCAAGGTAAGTTAGTCACTATTTTTTATTTGAATAATTTACTAAGAATTGCGTTCAGGGTTGCGGAAATAACCTATCTTTATAGTTTCAAGTTGTTGTTTTTTTGTTATAAGTAAAATACAAGTGAAAATGTAAGTAGTTGAGCTCACATATTTATGAAAAACAAATTTGAATTAAAGTAGTTATTATAAAGTGTCAGCTTGATTGCTTTGCAGTCAGTGAACATTGTGGACTCTGCTCTCACTAATAGATCACAGTAGCAGATTTAGATAAGAACATCTATAATAAATGTTATGTCTGTATTTTTACATGAATGTTTTTGTTTAAAATTGTTCGACGGTATGCCTTCTAAGGTGGTTGTACACTCTTCATATAGTATACGTTGTATTTTAGTAAGCATACCACTACATGTTTTGTGTTAGTTCTGAATACTGCCAGTATATAGCCTTCAGCAGAGTTGTATGACTTTCAACTAAGGCACACATATTTAGAAATTCATTATTTAAAATGAAGCAAATGCTGTACTACCTATTGTGGTGATAGTCACTGATGTGTTGTCAGGAGTATGTTGGCAGTTTACATGGAAAAAAATGCATTTTATGTCTCAGCTGGACATTTCTCATGCTTTTGAGGTAATGGTGGGCTTGTTATTGCTATAGCAAGACCACCTGGTCCTGTTAAGTGGCCTGGACAAATGCCTAGTAAGTTAGATGTGGCAGGGCGTTTTTTAAAACCCACAACATACTGTTAAAAATGTTTTCTAAAAATAGCCATCAAGTATCTATTTCAGGATGCATCAGCATGCTTCTCACTACACCTCCAAAAATGTGATCAGTCTTCCTCCAACCTTTAGTTACTTGTCGTCATTGTTTTCATTATTCCTCCAAATCTTAGTCACTTGTTAGTCATTCGCTACAAGTACTCCTCTCATTCCTTCTCCAAACCTCTGTCATGCATTCTTCTGTCATCCTCCAAACACTCGTTGGTTGTTAGCAATCTGTCCTTTTTCATTTGTCCACCTCATTTGTTGTCTTCATAAATAACCCCCCCCACCCCCCCA